ATTTATGATTGCACAAAAAATTTAGTTTTTATGTATTTCATTTTTATGATTTAAGGTAATACAAGTGATGTGTAAGGAAATGATACTTAAATTTACTCTGTACTTGAGGTTTCCATTTACTATCAGCTACAAGCTTAGGTAAAGTCATGACGATGACAGTCGTGGGACATTCAAAAATCGGAATGTAACATCTATTTGCACAATACTTGGTTTATTCAGATCGTTGAATTGAACCATATATAAATATGTAATATTGGATCATAAACTGATTGCTTCAAATTTTAGTTTTAACCTGTCACATAATACTGAAAAATAAAAAAAACTAACTTAATCACATTTTAGAACTTACCATCCATTGTACTTCTACAAAAGTTTGAGAAATAAAAGTACTTATCGGTGGTGACGGCATCGCTGGTTCTAATATTAAACGTTTAAAAAAGAAAATAATTTACAAAAAATACAATCTTGACTATTATATAATGATCAATTTAAAAAAAAAAAAATTTATATTAACATTTAATTGTACAATCGACAATGTGAATTGGACTTGAATAAGTTACAACTATAGTTAAATACATTGGAACCCTCTTTAAAAACACTTCTATAAAGGGGCACCCTATTAAGGGACACTCCATTGCAAAACAAAAGAGGAATATAATCACAACAATATTACCCACTCTTTGTAAAGCAACACATTTATTGATAATTAAAGCCCCATTCCCGGCAAAATTTCACTAAAAACTGACTTTTTTTTAGAAAATATGCATTTGCATTACTCCAATTATTATAAATCATGGAAAAATATTTTCATGAATTTTAGTTTTACGCAAAAGAATAAAAAAAAATGAGAAATACAGACTATTTCTCATAAAATATTACCATTTTCTCGACGAATTCATCGTTACTAGGCAAATTCAGAGGTTGTAGATCGCATCCACTGGAATACTCTCGCTTTTATGTATACTTTATACAGTCAATAAAGTGCGCCCTCTCCAATGAGATTAGATTTTGTACTTCGCATCTCGCACAATGCGTTCGTTCGGTTAGGTTGAGATATGTTTGTGTAAGTGTCAAAATCTCAGTCAGAATCAGTTTTTTAACAAATTTGAAATAATTCCTATGAAATATTATATTTCACAAGTGTCATTACTAGCAACGAAAAATATCATGTCGGCCGTTTTTATGTGTGATAACAGAACCTATATCGAGGTAAGGATAGGCCTAGCCTAGCAGCGTTGGATAGGCTAATGTTTTCGGCGCCTACGATATTTCTTCTCACGACCTGTCGCAAAATCAAACATGAAAATTCATCCGCACTTATTTTTTGTGTGGAACACAAAAAATCAAATTTCAGTCTTATTTTACATTTTTTTCATTCTTAGGAATGTCTAAATTCAGTTAAACTAGCAATTCCGTATTATATTTATAAATCTTTATAACATTATACAAAAATTAGATAAAAAAAAATGAAATTTTGCCGGGAATGGGGCTTTAATATCACCATATTTCGCAAGTGAATAATATGTTTGATGAAACTCAGTTTTGCAAGTGATCAGGAGAGTCTACACCCACCTCAGGTACACAATGGATGGGACTGAGGCGAAAAAGTCAATGCAGCAATACTGATTGTCCAGAAATTGAATTCTCAAAAAAAAAAAAAACAAAAAAAAAAAAACTTATTTATAGTTTCTTAATTTGATATTATGTCGTTCAATTGAAATAGATTTAATGAGTTTCCGCACATCTATGGGGAAAATAAGTAGCGGCAAATACCAAGCGTTTAATACTCACCTCAGCCCATCCATGGTGTTGTCTAAAGCCGAGCACTCGGTGCGTCGTACTACGGCATAGTTACCAACCGTCTCGCATCGTGCGGGACGGTCCCGCATTTCAAAGTGATTTTGGATGAAACACGCATTTGCCGAAACACATGCGTGATCATAAATTTGTCACGCATTTAGCACAAGTCTGTGCGTGTAACGAATTTAGGGGAAAATGTATTTAAAATTAAAAGAAAGTGGTTTCATTAAATATATAAAGAGGGTCATGCAGTAGCTTGAGTGAATAGAGAGCTTTCGTCATCTCGTTCGAGAATCAATTCGGCAGGAAAAATTTCTCTTTCCCCACCAAAACAACCCAGCCAACCATGCACTTAGTAGAATCTAGTCGCGTGCGGTCTTGCGCGCTCCTTGTCACAATCAACCAACAGTTGATGTGACTGGAACCGGCCTACATCGGGATCCGCCCCTAGAAACCCAGGGC